GAGAGAGAGAGAAAGTGGTGGGGGGAATGAGACACGTGGCGATGGAATTTCATTATCTGGCCGAGTTTGAGGAAAGGGTAAGTCGCGCGAGACTGCAGAGGATTACATTTGAACGAGTAAATCTGCCTGACTGAGAGCACAGCGCAGTTATCCCGACACAAAGCGTGCTCGAAAAGCAAATGAGTCGCAGATTAACTCCTACCCCCGAGGCAATCTCCTTTTTACCGTTCGACCTCCTTACGACGTGATAAGGAAGATATTTAAACTACTCGGGTATAAGAAGTCGCGTGGATATGTAAAATTAAAAAACGAATGCTAATCCTGTTAATTTCTTCGGCAAAAAAATTATTATCGATTTAATTTCCCGAGTAATTCATACACTGGCAATGAGTCGCGTTTATTTCGAAGTTTAAACTTTTCTAAATAGTGATTGAACCGTTAACAATGACGTTATATCCGCATTAAAATTCATATAACACTTAATTACCGTAGGCAATTGCGCCGTATGTATCTTTATACAAGGCTCGGTTGAAATAATCCCGTTGTAACGATTATTTACATAACAAATGGCGCAATAAATAGTGCCTCTCGCAATGAAATATTTATGATGAAATACTAGTCGGTCGGGATTACAAACTATTGCGACACTTTCCCGTCGACAGGCACGTCTGCGATGAGAGGAACTGCGAGGTTGTATCTGCGTTTTGGAATCTCTTCATACTTTTCTCCAGAAATATTATGAAATACTTGCATCGGACGTCAAAAATCTCAAAGAATCCAATATCATCTCAGGGTGCTCAAAATTTTTTTCAAAATCTGTACCACTCTATCAGTCGCGTATCAAGGATTTACTAATATTCTGAATATTACGGATATCTCGCGGCTATTTCATAATATAATGCTGGAGTCCCGAACCACCCTGCGCGCCATCCATAAAAGATAAATGTAAATAAGCCATATTTATATTCATAAATCCAACGCGTTCACAGAAAGTACATTTTTACTTGGAAGATGCGTGACACAAGACATCATAAACAGACATTTGCAAATTGTATATAACGAGGAAATATTTGCTGTGTTTAATAATCGCTGATCGTTACGGCGAAAAGTCTGATATGCAAATTCGTTGTACTCTTGTTTAGTATAATTGTTATAAACTATACAAATCAATTTGTATAATAGCAATTAATACCTTCAGCAATTTCGATTATCAAATAATTCGTTGCCGAATATCGAAACAAATGAGACATCATTCTCATAATTTATAATTAATAACGGTGTAATGAGAGAAGTTCGCAGCAAGTTGTATTTGTTTTCTCTTTTTGGAATACGAAGATCTTTCTACAACTTTCCGGTTTTCCAGATTGCGTATTTCAAATTAACTCTGAAGAATTAAAGTTCGATCAAGTCGCGTCCACTCTCCAATTGAAAAAAAAAGGGATAATTGTGACCTAAATTTAAATCATTAGATCCACACGGTGTAAACTGCTTAATTTCAAAAGGTACGACATGAAAAAGTTTACGAGTATTGTTTTATCCCTTTTTGACAAAATATTTTGCGCATAATATGCATGAACCATTATATCTCTCGATATTTATTACAATATCAGGATATTGTTTTCGGACACATAAAAAAACTGAGATTAAATTTATTTATATTTAAAGTTAACTAGTTTTTTCCCCCCAATGCATTCATAAAAGTTCTGTACTCGCGGCGATGTTCGAAAATAGATTACGGACACGTGTGCGACACGGCAATAATCAATAGATTTTATCGTACAGCTGCATCAAGAAACATCATTCAAATTGCTTTTGCAGATTTATTTTTGCTGCTATGTAAAAAAAAAGAGCAGTTCGGTTATCGCTGTTAAATTGGTGAATTGTGGTCATTCGCAATTTACAAATATATAGATATCTCTTCGATCATAGAGCCGCGATATAAAATAAAAAACATATCAGACTAACGCTTTTACGTTTTTTCCTATGTTAGTAGAATTAAACGCGAAATAAATGTACAAAATAGATGATACTAGAGTGAATAAGATTAATAAACTTGAATATAAAAATGGATGCGCTTGACCGTTGCTCTGTGCACTGAAAAGCGTAAGCAAATAAATTTACACATGTGCTATCAGTTATGTTATGTACATATACATACATATTAGAATTAAAAGAACGATCTCTCCATATAAGTTATGAAAATTAAGTAAGTTGAATTCTGAAGCTCTCACATGCAGTTATTTAAGGACAATTAAAGACGCAAGATATGAGACACGATTTAAAAACACAATAAGTGTGCAAGCATTGTTTTACATACCTAGATAATTTGTTTAATGAATGTATTTGTTAAAAACTGCTCAAGTAAAGCGAAGTTAACAAATAGATGAAAGTCATTTTATGGTTTATAAATTTTTATATAAAACACAAGTTTCTGATTATCCGGCGTTCTGTCATTCAACTACAGTTTTAATCAATATCGCGTTCTTAAGATATACTAAAAAAAAAAGTTGAAATCAGAAAACTACGTCAAAGAATAAATACGGCAAATATTTAAAAAATTATACATCCATCCAGCTAAAAAATTAAAGAAATATTTGATACAAAAAATTCGGTGTTGCTAGATCTCGTAATATATTAGGAGTGTGCAAGAATTTTAGTCTTTTTTTAATGTTCGTTTATTTATTATACATACAAGTACTACAAATCAATCTTTGATACACAGTTTCTCTCATTATTTATAATTTTCTGCCACCTTTCTGACGACTTTCGGATTCCGTTACGAAAAAAAGACATCGGTTTGGAGGCAATAAAATCGTCGAGGTATTTTCGAACATCTCAAATGCGTTGTCCAGTTATTATTAACCAAAATAAATAATAATCCTAAAGCGCCAAGTCAAGTGAGTGCACCGCGTGAGGGAGTCCAGTCCACGTTAAAGATGGTTCGCTGAATGTAGTGTCAAATTAAAACTTTTCGTCGCTCATGTTTACTGTTACTTTGTAAGTTATACGCACCATTAAATTATAAAATATAGCGTTTTAGATAATTTGATATCAATCTTACAAATGCGCCAAAAGGCGGGAAATTATTACATTTAGCTCCGCAAACACAGAACATTGCAACGATGTTACAACATTGCCGTAATGTCGCTGCAATGTTCTGTGTTTGCGGAGCTAAATGTAAATTTTTCAATTCGCACTTTATAGTACAATCGCAATATCTCTGCTCGTAGGACACGTATACGAAAAGTAAAAATACTTTTCTTATATAATTCATAGCCAAGCTATCGATTGAGTCTACCTAGAACTTGATCAGTTCCAACCGATACTGAGATCCGGTAATCATAAGATCTCTGAACTTTTCCGTTCGGGTAGACATACACGATCTAATTGCTCGTACACTTGGAGCGAGGAACCACCGTGTCTCTTCATTTAAAAACACATGTATACGTATATGAACGAAAAAAAGTATTGCCAACGAAATATATTTCACTTCAACAGCTTTTTCCTCTCAGTATACCAAGTCTTCTTTACGAGCGTCATATTACGTTTTTTCCTTGGAGCAATATACGAATATACATATATGACTCCATCTCGGATTCCCCCAAACTCCCAAGACGCCACGTGTCATCGCGAAGCTGAAAGGAGCTTGATTCAACCCTTCGATTGGCCGCGGAGTTGGATGCAGAGTAATGCGCGTCTGCGCGACAGATTAATGAAGCAGCACACCGTCATGGTCATGTCGAATGCGAAACGTGAATGCGAGATGAAACGGCGATGTTGGCCGATCTTACACCGTCTAGTTTACCTCGATCGAATCTTGCTCCATTTCGTCTACCCTAGGCGGACATTCGTCGCACATGCACGTGGGCTTTCGGGGGGGTCTCTCGTTGTCAGGTGCGAGGGCACGCCCGGGAACTTGCGGGTCCCGCGAGCGTGTCACGGATGGTCTACGGGATGAGGGTCGCTTGAGTTTCGGGACTTTGACTCTCCGAAGGAGTTTCGGATCCACCTAAATCATGCACGCAGAAACGGAGGAATTTGGCAGGAGAGAATCTTGGCTTACTGTTAATGTTGAAAATTCTCAAACTGCGAAACCGCAAAAGCGACAAATGATACAGAGCCGTTGCTGACGGCAAACGATGGAACACGACGCGGCGCGAGGATGTACGTCTTCCTTTCCCCGTGACGTTGCGTTAATTCGAGCGAACGTTTTTCGGGATAAAAATAGATCTTGTCGTGTTTATAAAAACCAACGTAAAATCGCGGAAAATATTTTCGGCGATAAAAAGTATAATCCATCAGTCTTTATTTCTAATTCAATAATTGATAAAAGAATATTGCTTTTACGTGAGCGAAGCTCTTCTCACCTGGAGTGTGCACCCAAGTAGAACAAGAAGTCATAATGAAGTCAAAATGATTATTATAATGACTGTTAAAAGTTACATTTTGTTTGCCCACAACGAAAAATTGATCCAATAATGATTTTGAATTTTAGAAATGCTTCTAGACATAGTTTGGCATACGATAATTTCGACTTGGAGTATTTTCAATACTCAGATAATTGTATGTTATAGAACTTAAATATGATAATAATAAATAGTAATGAATACAAAAATGTTTCTGGTTTTACAAAAGTGATATTAAGATATGAATATAATTTGTGTGGTAAAGTGTAATATTCAATAAAATCTGTATTCTTAAACTTTTATTTTGTATCTTCTGAATAGAAAGTCAATACTTTCGAAGTCAAATATTTTCACGAACTCGTAAAATCTAATAATATTTGCAAGATTTCAATCCTTTTGTATGCACGAGCGACTTGGGTTCTCTCGGCGAAAGTCGCCAAAAAGTCAAAGTATGGTCATAGAAAAGTCCAATTATGTTTCGTTGAAAGTGTTAAATAATATCGTTTTGACTTTCTAGAAATGATTTTGATAATTTTTAAATGACTCTTCGTTCTTGCTTGGGCAGCTTTCGTTATACTTACTGAAAAATTTTACTGCTGAGTTATTTGTTGTCATTTGTCGGGCGTTAGTAGTTCGCAGTTTGTTTTAATAGAAATGCAATCGTGTATTTTCAAATTAACACGGTTTATGGGTCGCGTCGTAAATTGCACATAAACCACTTCGAGCCATTACCACTTGAGTTGTTCTGCGAGTTCTAATTTTTCAAAACCGTTGCTGCTTCAATTAAACATTACTTGCACTTTCGAGCGAGAATAATTAATGTTGCATTACATTCGAAACAGTTCGTTGGGTAATCGGGGACGCACTTGTTGGCAGATAGAAGGAAACTGCGGTTGATACATCTTAAGATGATTTTTCAGTCATCTTTTTTCCTTACACAGTCAAATGTAGTTTTTGCGCTTGTAAAGCTTTTTGTTGGCTTTTATGCACAAAATAATATCAGGATAAGTTGCGCTGCACTTTTGGCACCTATTATTTTGCTCCTAGAACTGTCAATTCGTAAAAACATTTGTGTAATATACAATTTATGTGGCTTTTATGTACGAACCGACAGTGTTCCATTATTCGGACTAAATCAGAGAACAGCATGGTATCATTAAGTTGAAAACATCTATTCAATCGAATAAGTTGTAGATTAGAACTATAACTTATTCAAGAGAATTCTTGTTAAGCTCCTAAACTTAATTTCAATGATACCATACTGTTCTTTGACTTAATTTGAATAGTGGAACACTGTCGGTCTGTAAACAAAAGTCACATAATTTGTATATTACACAAATGTGTTCATGAATTGACAGTTCTAGGAGCAAAAGGTGCTAAAAGTGCAGAATCACTCCAGCATCCCCTTAAGTATGAAAATTTTCTGCTATGTGTTCCGCAACGTATCCTGGTATTATTTCGTGCACAAAAGCTAATAAAAAGATTTATAAGCGCAAAAACTATTATACATACTCGTATATTTGACCGTGTAGGTAAAAAAGATGGCTGAGAGATCCTCTGCGAAAAACACTGCTCGTGTTCTATAAAGATGCGCATACCTTCAGTAAGTTAACCAACTAACAGTTGCATAACATGAATATCATAATTTCCTACTCAACAATGCAACTGTTATATACATACAACGCATATTATATTATTATTTATATTGTTGAGTGGAAAATTGTAACATTGATATTATGTAACTGTTAGTTGGTATTTACTGGGTAATATTTCCTGAAGTGACACGGAGGGTCTAGGGGGATGCGTTTTGGAGGATCGATAGGGGCGCATTTCGTAACTCTCCCCGGATGGCCTTGGTTCTCGACAACAATGTGTCAGCGAGAACGCCACGGGCGATATAACGAGCCACGACATACCTCACGCTGGTGCTTCTGGTCTGGCTGAGGCTTGCGTTCCTCGTCACAGATGCCCGGTAGCCTCTCCTAGGGCAGCAAATCCACCACCCGCCGCAGGCGGCCGACAGGAAGTTCTCCCTGAAGTGCTTCGACATAAACCCGTAAATTATCGGGTTTATACAGCTGCAATGCCGATATTGGATTAAAGGCGCGACCGTATCGAAAGTCGCGTTAATCGCCGGATCAGCCAAAATTGCGGAGACCACGTGACCGCCTGTAAACCCGCAACTGTAGCCGCGCGCGCACATGGTTGCATCGGAACGCGAAACGAAATCCGCGGTTTAAATCTGGAATGCGTAAACGCGATACAATTTCGGTAGCTGATGGCCGAAATTTCGGATGCAAATCCCATCGAGTGCTCAGATGGCACCAGCCAACTTTTTCAACGTGAAAGTGAACGGGAAAGGTACGGTGGATATTCCGTGAGGGAAGAGCAGCTAGAACATGGCCGCTATCTTTCAAATTTTATATTAATATTTAATTTTATTGATATAATACTGATAATATCTATTTACTAATTAAACACATTGCGGGATCGCGTGTCTGCGTCTTTGGATCCCCTGGAGATTAAGATGGCTTAAATATACACCAAGCCTTGGATAGCTAAGGTACCTTGGAGTTACTAATCCCGTACTCGCATATACATGATGTACACATATCTTGACACTGTGTAATACGATGCAATTAATAATCGAGTTACTGACTGGTTAAGGTGTGGATCCTCCGAAAGTACACAACCGAAAAGTATCGCAATATTCGGTACATTTCACAAACAGTAAATTCTGAAGTATGTATTTATTATATTATTGATCTATGCATTCGAAACGATACTCGAAATAAATACTTGTGATTTATGTATTGTTCTATTCGAAATCAATCTCAATGAAAAAATGGCCAGTAAATCACGTTCATATTATAACATTCTCGAAAACGTTAAAACACAATGGGGAATGTGTCCGAATTTAAGTATAAATATGCTAAGTTATAAAAAAATAATTATCGCCTGCACAAATGATATCAATAATGATTTATAGTGTCGCTCCGATTTCTACAGCGACTAAATCAAACAAAGTGCTGCGCTTCGATAAACGGTTATTGTTTTCCTACGTTAAACGAGTGTTAAGCGTGGGAGTTAAGTAGATTAAGAATTGCTAATCGCAATAATCGTCTTCCGAAGAGCGATGTGACGATACCAGCGACGTCGCCACTTTGCACCACAATACTTGTACCTGAGATGTCGATGTGAAAATAATAGCACGCAACTCCATTAAGAAACAAAAACCGATTATTGAAAATAAAATATTAAATCAGTGAGATAATATAAGATAATAAATTTTATATATAGTAGCTTTCCTCCATGTAAAAATTAATTGGATAAATTTAATTAGATTAACTAGATAATTTATCACGCACTTAGAGAACAAAACCGTGCAGATGCAATTGAAAAAATCAGCTTTATCATAACAATTATATCAATATACACATAAATAATAAGTATATTAATAAAAAATTAGTAATAATAAATACATTAATAAAATATATTATCGTTTAAGAATTCATAATAATAATTTTCGATTTGTTCAGAGCAAATCGCAAGAAATATATTTTAATATATGCAGATTAGTGAAAGCAAATTCGAATATGGAAATGCGATCGTAAAAGTTGTCCAGTTATAAGCGATTAAAATTGGAAACGCATACTTACAATTAGTTCTATAGCAGTGCATGTACCAATCTATCACTTGTTATTGGTTTTCACGATTAAGTAAGATTGATTTCTACTGCTCAATTAATTTTATCGTTCAACTTCTCTTATCTGCAAACATCACACAAGTCATAACCGATATTGCGCCAAATATTGTAAACGCATATTAATATCATAAATAATAAAAAGTTGTAACTAATAATAAAAATAATCGACAACCGCTATTGACTTTAATTGATGTCTTTTTTCTAAGTGCGCCGATAAATTCACAATTTCATTGAAATAAATCACGAACAAATAATAAAAAGTAAATTATCTTCCTCCTCTCTTCCGCAATGTCATTTATATTTAATTCAACTCGATTATCAAATCTATATGAAGTGTTTTTACTCTTGTAAGATAATATCAAGTACTTGTAACAATTTAGTGATCAGAAGATAGTAATGTTAGAATTATGAAACACGAGCGATAAGTTTACTACTGAATAATTGAGAGCAAACTCGCGTATTTGTATGTCACGTTTCTCGAGGTTAATGTAGAGATTTTCGTGAAACTTTAGACATTTGCGGCGAAGGAAGGAGACTTGAGCCGGATTTAAGGATGAGGGACCGGCGTTTCGAGATTTGCATGAAATAGAAGCAAAATTTATTTATAACTATTAAGAGGCTTAACCGCTTGTAGTGAACTTATTACACGGTCAGTTCTTGCTATTATGGACTTCCAGACTGTCCCACACAGATGCACACATGAAGACGCCTGTCTACATCTATAAAACCGCCGTCGGAGGCAACTCAAACTTAGAGAAACTTACCAAACTCTCTGTTGCCAGAGGTTTCCCCCTGTTCGATAAAGAAAGTTAGGAGCTACTTTAAAATTTGAGAGGGTATACACTTCGTCAAACTAGTAACAGTTATAACCAAATAAAGAATAATAGGACGCTTCTGTAAAAACGAGCTTTCAAGAGGAAATTTTAAAAAAGAACCTTGTACAAATAAAGGAAAGTCCCCTATTATAAGATAGGCTACTAATGTGAGATAGCGGAGTTTCTGCTAAATTAACAGGCATCATCTGTTGATTTCACCGTGAATTTATTGCGCTTGAAATCTTGTTTAGTGGAAAATCGATTGTTAGATCATGTAATCGTTGCGAAAAAAAATTTGTGATTGACAACTAAAGTTTCATCAAGACCTTTTTAAGATAAAACTCAAATACAAACGAGAACGCCAAATCATACTTAGGTCCGGGCAAGCTGGAGCTTAATAATTTTTTAATTGGAAAATACGAAATATGAATTCACATATTAAATTAAAAAATTTGGATATTTGGGCATTTCCTTTAGTCTACCGCATTTCTTTCCGATCGCACATTCTTTTCTTAGTGACGATTTAATTAAAAGCCATCAGCAGTTTTAATTATATCTATATGGCAAGATATAACCTTTCAGTGTTATCGATCTCAGTAATTAAATTCTACATTAATTACATCTGTTAATGAAAACTCAATTTAAAATTTATATTAAAAAATTTAGATATATTAAAGAGATAACGAAGCTGTGTAAATTCATTTACACTTTCGAGTTTTAGTTCTTTAATACTAGAGGTTTCTTTGAAAAAAAGCGATGTGCTCTAGAAATTTGTCGTTGCCAAGAATTTTACACTAAATTTATCAAAGAAACAGACTTTTCAAAGAAGTTCACCGGAAAAGCAGCAGAACGAATCTCACGCGTGTATGTGTGTGTGTGCGCGCGCGCGCGAAAGGTTAAATTAAATTAAAAGCGTAAAATGGAATTACTCGGAAAAAAAGCGAGTCTCACTCAGAGGTGAGGAATATCAACTTTTCGAGAGAAAGGCAAAGGTAAAATAAATTTATTTTTAAAAGGCGATGGACGAAACTGCACGAAGCGGAGAATGCAATGTTTTCCCGCAACGACCCGAATCACTTCAATAGTATGCAATTTATCTATTGCATCTGACGCTGTTGCCTGGCAGCATCACGACTTGTTAAGCTAATCAAAGGTCGTTATCAAAATGACACACAGCGTATTCGCAGAGGTGGCTATTAAAGTTATCATTCTATATCGTAAAAAGCGAGCGACACGGCAGGGAGAGAGAAAGAGGGACACGCATTCGGCGAAAATAATGTCGCACGTGTCATCGCGTCGTCGCGATTCAATACGCAGGTGATTTCAAAATCCGCATTTCAGTCGCGAAAACACATCACACCTACGCGACATAATTCTCGGAATATAACAAAACGTATATAAAATGTATCAATTGTAAATTCGATGTTTAATGTTTTCGATAAATCAATATAATTCGCGCGCAACCGCGCGAAATTTGCTCGTATTTAACACGATCGTTCATTGCATATGTATACGCAAAGTATTTTTGTCGCGTGTAAACCGCGAGCAAACTTCGTGAGTTGCTACAAATTGTAGGTACTTATTCATCGAACAAATCAAATATCAATTCTACAGTTTAAGTGTTTTTTTCCGCGCAATCCAAATTAGCGTCTTTGATACCAGCATCTTTCTGCAAAAATATTCACAGAGTCCCTCCGTTGCAATAACGACAATTAAATCTGTTTCGAGGAATGCAATTGTATACATAACGTACAATTCAGTGAGAGAAAAGTTATAAATATGGAATAGCGGTGCACATCGAGAACAGTAAGGTTTTCAACTTTGCAGATGTTGCACTCGACGACCACTTTGCGAATTGATAAATGACACTGTCTGCGTATGACTCTATGTTTGATTAATTCAGCTGCGAAGCTGTTTTCCATTTTCTACATCCGTTTTATTGTTTTTACTTATATACATATATATATATGTATTCAGTAATTCTCGTTTATTAATTTTAAACCAATGCTGAAAAAACATATATACAGAACAACATATACAAATACTTTTAGAATATTAATCGAGCTCAAATCGTAAAAATGTAAATAAAGCCATTTCCAATTTTTCAATTCTTACAAAATTTTAATTTCTAATTGGCACTGCACATTTCTATCTCAAGACAAAAAGGAAAACGTAGAAAAGTATATGGTAAAAACTACACGTCGATAAACGAAAATTGACGCAGCCACAATTTGCATAAGATTTCACACTTGGCCCGTCTAAATGCATGAATGTTTTAATTGAGAAATAAATGGACGTTTGAAATTGATGCCTCTACTAGTTTACGATGCAACCACGTACGGATTCTGTGCGATCTGTCCGGCGGAACAAAAGCACACGCGGCTGTCGCGACTGACCAGCAAGCTGGTTTTTCCACTTGCAACGCGAGCTCGCAAACGACTCCCCGGAGGCGGTGACACTCGCACGTAAAAGACGGAATGTGCGAGATCAGTTTTAAATGGACGATTCCCCGGCACTTAATCTCCTCAAGTCGCACCCGAGGCGTACCTGTTAAAATAAGCCATCAGCTGGAACGCGGTGTTGAGATGCTTGTGCCACCCACCCTTGACTCGCGGCAGATAGCCGTAAGCGGTCAGCACGTTGTCGACGAGTATCGGGGCCCAACAAATGGCGAACAGCATCACGACCAACACCAGCATCTTCACCACCTGTTGGCAACCATTCGGATCTGATTAGAACCGTTTTCTAACTGATTTACAAAAGCCACGATAGAGCCACATAGAACGTCCCAATATACTAGACATGGCTCGAGTTTACTGAACAACGTGGGCGGTCTGCCTCAGAGCTCTGGGTGTATTTTCAATCAACCTTACCGATGTAATCTCGACTGGAATTTATGGTCTTTAAGAGGAACCCTCAGTCATCTTTTTTACCGACACAATCAAATATAAGTTTTGCGCTTGTAAATCTTTTTATTGACTTTTATGCACAGAATAATACCGGGATAAGTTGCGGAACGCATAGCAGAACGTTTTCACACTTAAAACACTCAGTTCAGAAGTCTAATAAAAAAAAATTGGTATTTGAAATTTTCGAATTATTATTCGTGTTTAATTTGAAGCTGGCTTTATAAAATGCTAAATTCCTCCACACGATTGAAGTACGCATAAAAACAAAGCCGAGGGTACTCGACTTTATATGAAAAACGGAGAGAAATTAAAATATCACTTTATAAGTGATTGTGGTAAGGTTATAGGTGACAGCTTCCTATGGTAAACTTTTTAATTTCTCTTCGCTTTTTATATAAAGTCAAGTACCTCTCGCTTTGTTTTTATGCGTATTTTAATCGTGTGGAAGAATTTTGTAATTTCATTAAGCTAATTTTAACAAGAATAACAAATTGAAAATTTCAAATGTCAATTTTTTTACTGAACTGAGCGTTTTAAGTATAAAAATGTTCTACTATGCGGTCCGCAACTTAGCCTGGTGTTATTTTGCGCGAAGAAGCCAATAAAAAGATTTACAAGCGCAAAAACTATGTATATGACTGTGTCGGTAAAAAAAGATGGCTGGATCCTCTTAAACGCGCCTACGGTTTTATTAGACACGTGCATTTTCTAAAATTGAAATATTGATCGTCGATATTCCGAAAATTTATGCATTCTTCTGACGACTCGGAACGAGCGTTTCGCAGTTATAAAAAAAAAATAGCAAAAAGTTCCTTCACATGTAAACGAAATAATCATTCAGGGATTAAAATTAATTACCGAAAATTTCGAAGTGATCTTATAAAATAGCTATTCGCCTCGCGAAATGTCGAAATTGTATTCTTCCCGAGAAGAGATTAATTAAAACAGACCTGCTTCATGGTCCGTGACTCTTCGTCTTTCTCGTCCCGACGCGATTTGCGTTCATTCCCGTCCTGTCGCTGTGTCATGGGAATAGATTCTGTATCTGCGCTGTTTGGATTTAATCTGGAACAGATTAAAACTTGCGCTCTGATTATCCGCACGAGGATCCCGTGCCCCGTCGCACGCCAATTTCGTCCGCAGCATGCTACCGGGAACGAATGGACAAAAACTAAATAGGCTATTCGCAAACCAAGCTGCAAGAAGACAAACAAATAACAAAATTCAATACGTAACATTAAACTTACTTTCAATATTTTAATGACGTTAATTTAGCCACGATTAAATAGACTCCATTAATCTTCTTCCAATTAATATCTTCAACAGGCGATTTGTTTCTGCAGAAACTTTCGTTACATTTTTCTTCGTCTTTAACGTTAAATTCTATTTTCATATCCAGAGACTCGAGAGGGATATGAAATCACTTATGAGAAGAAGCACTAAATTTTTTACCGAGCGCCTCGTGCATGCGAGCCCATTTTCATCTTGGTAAGATATTGCATGCGTTAACTACATTACGACTCTACTCCACGGATCTCCTTTGATCTTTCATACGCGACAGTAATTTTATCTCGGGGAATTTCTCCGAATTGACCGACGTATTAAGGCCGAGAATAAATTCTAAAGTAGCGAAAATTCTTCAGTCGCGATCTTTCCACGCGCGATCGGAAATGTTACTTCCATAGCGGTTACTCGCTGTATACATAATATTTCAAGTGCGATGGCAATCGATATCACGAGGACGTATTTTCCTATGAAACCGATTCTCCGAAGGAATCTTCGCACCGCCTCGAGCGGTAGAGAAATATATTCGTCTAAGTAATTGAAATCGATCTTGTTTCTTAACTAGATGCGGATGATCTCGAACTTTTCTTCGAGGAAACGTACTTACTGCGCTCGCGTCTAACTTTTGTTCAGCTTAAACTCGAAAGATCGCCCTCTGAGAGGTCTCAAAATAAATTATTTTCGGAAGCGAAATCCAGAGAGTATTTTGCAGAGTATTACACAATCAGAAAGAGGTAACGTCTTCACGGACGGGCGACTTGAACTCGTTAGACGCAGCTTAAACCTTTCTCGAAATAAGTCCTCCGCTTATCAGCGAAGTATACTCGAACATTTCTCGAGATCTTCTCGGATATATCAAGCGGCAGCTTGTAAGGCTCGCGTTCTCGATGTTTCACGGGATGCAGGAGACGGCGAATCGAATCAAGTCGAGTCATAAAGTGCAAATGCATTCGCCATTACGTTTGCCCCATCGCCCTCGATCTATTTCAAGCGGACCGCCCGTGGGTTACACACTTTCCAAAGAAACGCTATGAAACGATGCGACCACGTCCATTACCAGAGAAGTTTGCATCTCGCCAAGAGTCACATATCGCTGGGCTCGTAAACATTACACGGACATATGTAATAACAAACGACGAGAAGTAAAGTTTTGAAAAACAAAAATTCTTCTACGACACAATCTCTGAAACCTAATCTATCTACAATATGCTCTTTGCGTTTAGAAACATTTTATTTTGTAGTCAATAAATACGTTTAAAAAATTTGCGCAAGGGAATAAATTGTACAGGTGTCATACGTACATTGTCGATTGTACAATTCTTTTAAGCGTTTTCATTTGTTTGTATAGAATATAATGTTTCTAGATGCAGAGAGCACATTGTAGATTAGACTTAAGTAAAAAAAAGACTTGTTTGCTTTTAACTGTTGAATACTTTCTTTGTATGAAATCTACTACGTTTCTATAATTATTAATCGAGAAGTTATTTCAAAACTGCTTGTCGTACTATATACTTTCCACCTCGCTGTATCCCAAGCAGAACAAAAGGTTATGATGTAGTTAAAATGACATCATAAGTCATATTTTGATCATAACAAATGGAATTATGTTTTTCTGAAATTTAGAGATGCTATTTGATCTGGATGACAATCAGATTGTTTCTGATACTCATAATTGTGAGTTGGGATCTAAATACGATAATTAATAATTAATGGATACGAAGTTCTTTGTAACAAAAATGATTTTATTATTATAAGAATCTGATTCTCATACGATAGAGCGCAATATTCAATATTTTATACGAGTTGTATTATTGAGCTTTTATTTTGCATCTTGCGAGTGGAAAATCAGGATATGAGTATGCTTTAAAAAACCAACTATCTTCACAAATTTGTAAAATGTACACGAAGAGAACTTTCGTCTCTTGCAATTTACCCTGAAAATCATGTAATCTTGGGACAACGTGGCATTTTGAAGTACTTTACGAGACTTTTTTAAAATATTACCATACGTTTTAGTAGCAACTATGCTTAGTACACATTTTACTATAGAACGCAAATCACTTGTGCTTGCGAGATGATTGCAATCTCTCTCGGCAAAGGTAATCGAAAAACCAAAATATCACGAAAGAGTCAAATTATGTTTCATTGAAGTGTTAAATGTGATATCGTCTCAACTTTCTGGAAATGATTACACGAGGGGGAAACCGCTGAGGGCATTGTAGCGTACATACAGATTTGCGGAATTACTGGGCATTACTAGGCACTACTAGGCATCTTTGAGGCATTAGTTTGGGCGTTAGGCCTTGCTGGGGCATTATAAAGATAAAATAAGATAAAGTAATGCCTACTGGGCATTAGTGGGCATTGGAGTACAAGATTTTGATCGGCGGTTTCTCCCTCGTGATTAGATTTTTATGTCACCTTGACTCGTAATGACTTTATTCCGCTTGGGATATTTCCATTGTACCCTTTAATTATATCGATTACGTAACTACACGTCTAATTGTAGTACGTTTTTTATTCTGAGATTTAGGATTTATTTCAGAGTAGTATAAACTCGACAGCAAGCCCGCGGCCTGCATTGCTCGCAACTGTACGAACGGATGAGACTCAAATCTCGATGAGGTTCGAACGAATCTCTCTCACGATATTACGTTATTGCGACGGGCGCGCGGAAAACGCGTTATAAATGGAAACGCGATCTTCTTCATCGTATTAACGTCGGCCGACCCCGATATGAATTCCCGCGGGCATCCGAAAATCCGGCTATTCAATTGCAGTTTATATTAGATCGCTGGTCGCGTCGGAGCGCCCGTCAAATGGCAAAAGAATTGGCGCGCTCCTCTTCCCGCCTGGCTACGACGCGTGATTGACGTCCGCGACGAGGTAATCGACGTTTCATACGGCCAGGCGAGGAACACGTTTTTCGATTGCTGTTACTGCGGGAAAGGCAAATAGCAGTTTATGCGTCCATTTATGGATTAACGTGCCCACGTCCACGCGCGGTAGGCGGTTGTCGCACATAAATTAGTGCAATCGGATTCGCATCGATTATTGCACACGGTAGACTAAGCAGTGGGGAATTCAAGCGTTTAAATTTCCATACGCGCGCTCGTTGTATATTTCGCGAGATATTGCCGCTATAGTGAAATTCAATGGTACACTCCCACTATCCGTTTATAATAAGCCGTCGATTGTAATTGGAACGATCTTATCGCTTCTAATGGGACAGCTCTGCAAACGCATAAAATCGCGGTTCTATCAATTTCCAAAGATTAGTCCTTCTCGGGATAAGTCATCATCGTTTTCTCAATACGACATCAGTTTATACAGGTTGATTCAACATAAGTATAGGGTCCTTGAAATTCCCGATTAAATTCTAAGACGACTTTTTCCTTTACCAAAATTTTCTCCAAAGCGTTATAGTTTTTAAATTATAAAAAAAAATGGTTAACGAATAACGGGCCGAGTACGAGAGGCAAACAGGAGCGGCACACAATTGGGAGCAATGAGGTCGAACTAAGGTCTTTGTGTCGGAGAAAATATATTGAATTTTTCACTTTAGATGAGCCTGAAGAAAGTCGCTCTTTCCTTTTGGTAGTAAAGAGACAAATGCGAGTGTAATCGACAGAAGTTCGGTAGATCCTCTTCGGCCTAAGAGGTTCCAAAGAAATATTTTATTACATTCTCTTTGAGGGTTAGACTAAGATTAAACACAATTGTTTTACTCATCTTTGAACCTCAAATTGGAGTTTCAAACCGACTCCGAGGTCCAAACGAAGACAGAATAGAGTAATCGGGGCCCATTCCGGAACCAAATACTCGACTCGGGATGTCAGCTACTGTTGGAAAACTTGTTTCCTCGTTAACAATGCGTCGGTAAAAATTGTTGTGTTAAACATTTAACATATTCGCACGTTAATTTAACAAACTGTTGTCGCGTTAATTCAACTCAAGTGGTAAACTATTAAAACATCTGCAAAAGAGTATAGAAATTCACAGGCCAGAGAGAAAACGGAAAGGGAGATCTCGGACTTACGCGTGTCGCGACGTCATGTGGTACCGGCGCTTCATAACGCGCCAGATCTCCCAGCAGATGCTCGTATAGCAGAAGGCCATGATGATGAGCGGCAGCACGAGGACCACGACCAGCATGTAGACCTCGTGGGCCCGCCACAAAAGTCCGGCCTCGGAGTCGCGGACACACCAATAGGCGATCCACCTCAGCCCGACCTTCTTGTGTGTCTGAAAGAAAGAGTGCGAATAAATACGAAGTAATAAAGGAGTAAGAGTCCAGACGGGATGTTAGTGTCTAAACAATTTTAGTTTGAAGTCTATTGCGAAAAATAATACCTCGGCCAGGTATTACTTTTCGCAGTAGACTTAAAATTAAAATTATTTAGACACTAACGTCCTGTCCTGGCTCTTACTCCTTCATCACTGCGAATTTGTGTTTCCACATTAGAGCCTTATGAATTTTATCAAGTGCGAATAAAGCCTAATCTACAGTGTGCTCTCCGCGTCTAGAGACATTCTATTTTGCAGTGAATAAATTTGCGCAAGTAGATAAATATTGTGCACTACGCAATCGTAATTGTCGACACATTTTTTAAGCGTTTCGAATTGTTTACATAAAATAGAATGTTTCTAGAGAGCACATTGTAGATTAGGTTTGAGGGACAGGAAGGACGCGTGCCGCTCCTCGAGCGTATCCTGGGATGTAGCAAGGCATGCGACACGCTTTTCCGCCACGTTTATTAAGCCGTTAGACGGGCATTTACATATGCTGGAGCGATAAGATCCCACCGGCATATGAAAGCTTTTTATTGCTCCCCCTCGCCGTTTACTTCATGGCCTCGTAAAAAGGATCCGACGTTCGCCCTCACGCTTTATTAATCCTTCACAACGTGACTCTCTTTCGGGCCGGAGAAAGGCTCTTATGCATTAAACATGTCGCGAAGAGCGTAATGGGTATTTTCCAAACGATTTAAAATATGGAGGAAATCGTCAGAGTTTCATTTTACTCTATTCTCACGAAAGAATTCCAGAAGATGACAAGTCTAATGGAAGCTAAGTAAAGGGATCTTGGTTTTCACACAAGGAACTTTAAACGCCATTATTATCACTGATCTTTTATAATAACTCAGACAAAATATACAATGATCTGTTATCTAAACAATTATCTCTTGATGAGAAGCTCATAGGAAAACCGTGGTAAAAGAGATCTCCATTAACGTTGCATATTTGTATATCTCGAATACGAGAAATTAAAACTGTCACGTCTGGCGAGATTACATTTGAAGTATATACATTTGTAGTACAGTGTGCGTTATCCATTATTTCTCTTTATGAGCGTAATTCGGTGAAACTTTGCGGATAATAAGAAACTATTTTCATTTCGGACAAATCGCGTGTTCTCTCTCCGGCCGCGTTTCACTCTCAACTTTTTCACAACTTTTATGCCAGGCCTGCGCAAAAATTTCATCTTCCTAAATTCTTTATTTGCTTTCTCGCGAGAATAAGAGTCTCTCGTACGGGAGGTTTGTTCATCGACGAACTTCATCTCGAGAACGTTAGATGCCCTTGTGGAAAATTGATTTCACGTCCCCGATTTGCGTCACGATTACAGTCGGTTTATCTCCGCTCGTCACCGTAGGATTATTGAGACATGTAATATTCGAATAAAGAAAAGTTGCCGCAATAATAATAAATTGCAATACAATCCTTCGTATACACATAGCCGGCATTTCTCATCGTAAGTGAAGTAAAGACGGAGTCAGCTTCTATATAGCGCAAAAGGGTATCTTTCATCCGAACGACAAAAAGTATATCAAACAAAACAATTTTTATCCCGGATTTTTATAAACTAGATTTTCGTAAACTGTAACATCGTTCGATCGTACAAATGAAAAACTCTTCTGAAAAAAAAACATTTTTAACTCGTTGAAAGAGCTTGAAATTTTTTGTGTCACGTTCGTATCCTACACAGAGAAAATTTTCTCTTAAAACTCACCCTGAAAATCGCGTAATCGTGGAACAACGTGGCATTTTGAAGAACTTTACGAGTTTTACTAGTAAAATGTATGGTAAAATTTCAAGACGCTCTCATAAGATTCTTCGAAATGCCCCGTTGTCCCACGATCGCATGATTTTCAAGATAAATTTTCAGAGAAAGTTCTCTCCGTGTACATTTAACGTCAACCCGCGTGAGTCGATTCGAGGCAACGAGTCAATTTTCATACGAGACAAGTAAAATTCGGAATCAACTAAGCAGATTAATTTTTAAATGTAGCGTGCCTGTGTCATTGTATTAAACGTAGCGAATGAATACGACCTACAGCGCTATTATCGGCCACGATATGCTACGATATTACAAGACGTCTTGAGGGTTCAAAGAGCAATTCTGCTTGAACTTCCATCTGGGAAAATGCCGCGGATTGCGAAAGAAGTATCCGCCAAGTGAAAATCCAAACACGTTGGATTCCTTCGATTTTCCTGAGGGGGAAACCGCTGAGGACATTGTAGTGGACAGATTTGCGGCATTACTGGGCAATACTAGACATTACTAGGTATTTTTTTTAGCGTTAGTTTGGGTATTAGTTTGAGCATTATAAAGACAAAATAAGATAGAATAAGGTAAAATAAGATAAAATAAGATAAAATAAGATAAACTAGGATAAAATAAAATGAAATAAGATAAAAAGCTAAACTAAGATAAAACAAGATAAATAAGATAAAGTAATGCCCACCGGGCATTAATGGGCATTGGTGTACAAGATTTTGGTTAGCGGTTTTCTCCTCGGATTTTCCCCTACGCGGTCCGATTATCTCGGCATATCTGCTTAACGCTCAGATAAATCGCCGTTCATTAAAGTAAGTGGCCGAAGCGAGGTGTATCAGTTTTATCGGACGTGTGCAACTGCGGGGCGTATCGCTCTCGGATTTCGCGGGTATACATCGCACGCGTGTGCGAGAGCGAAATATCGCGAAGGGTCGTGTTGCGATAAACGATAGGACGGAAGTAGCGCGCTGCGCGAAATAGGATGGCGAATGCCGGTGCAAAATTAGACAGATATATTATTTCGAATCGTTTCCTCCCTTTCTAAAAAGGAGATGTTACCAGCGCGAATGTCGTTAATGTCGAACAATTGAGGCCTCTTTTCCGCGATGCCGATTCGTTTTCTCGAAGCGCGGTGTGCTTCGCTTGCCTTTTCGATTCATGGTAAATGAAGATTTGCAATTTAAAAAATACACATTTGTATACACCAACTGTTGAGGTAAAATCTCTAATCTTAGTAGTTAGATTTTAAGTAACAATGATTTTTGTTCCGATACATTTTCTCGATTGAACAGAATTAATCGTTTATTTAATCGGTACCAATAAGTCCGCAGAATGATACACAAAACGTAGTAACAGTCACGGAACAAAAAAAGACACCGAATTCTCAACGTTCGTAGTTGTTTTTCTCTCGGCGCGGTGACGTACTATGTTTTTGCGTGCCATCGTGTACCTGAAGCTGAAGGTCGACGCGCTATCATTCGCCCGCCGAACGTCGAGCCGGCAGGCAGTGGCGAGAGTCGCTCCGTGCGTGTTATTACTTTTGCGTTATCGGTTTCCAAGACTCGATCGCGATGAATGCTGGGATAAAACACTATTGATTTGCACACCTTTATCAGTAACAAGTAACGTTCCTCGATTAATTATTAAGTGTCTCCAACTTGTAATAAGAAACGAATTGCATGTCGAGGCGACGGCTCTTTATCAACGTACACGTAGATATTTCACGAGACTAACTCATCTAAAATATGAAGGTAAACCGTGGTACTTTGACGCGGTTACATCCCGTTTACGCACCGCGCTTTTAATTATCTATCGATTTCGTGTAATCTGTTCCACTTTCGGGAAAAGAGAGAAATTTGTACGACTTCGGCGTTCGCGCTGTAATTCGCTCTTTACCGCAGATTATGCTTCCGTTGCTCGCGTTGTACTTTATATCGCAAATTCAAAAGTGTTTTATCCATTATCCTATTCTTCCGAATCAAAAATGCAAGTTGTTCGTTTGAGTAATTTGTATGACAGAAAGTCACGCGATCTTTGTTAATAGTATTTCGTGCGTTTCGCGGTATTTCACATCGCGTACGGGAGTGCCCGAAATTTCGCGCGATCGATGATTTTTGCGAGTGAGTGTTGTGTAAGTGCAACAAGGAAATCTGAGAGGAGGAGCAGGCCCAGGAGGCATCGGGCAACGGCGGAGAAATGGTGAGGTAAGTGTCTTACATTTTTATGTTATCTGTTACTTGTGCGAAATAAAGAAATTAATCTCATATCGATTTCATTGATTCGCGTTAATTTCAAGTGGATTTTATAAAGCGTGAATGTCCGAACTCGTCGAGATGTTTAACGAGAACGGGGAAAATTGAGAAGGGCGAGATTTTTGTTAGGGAAACGTTGGCTGCGAGTTGAGAACACTTTATGTTATCTGTTCTGTTTTTATTTTATTTATTCAAATAAGTTGAACGAGGATCTGAATAAGTGTTAGAGGCGAAACCATACGTATAAAAGTTTGTGAGTTTATATTTAAAAGGCAGACTTTTTCAGTATTCTGTATAATTATTTTACTAAATACTTATTTAAAAAATATAAAGTACATTTAATACAACAATTTCGATTTTATAATTATTTTATAATAATCGTATACATATTTGTATTTTTACAGTTTCCCATACGTATACAGTTACTGATGTACAACGCTGCTATTGCGAATCATATCAGTGAGTGACAAATTACCTTTTATTTTAAAGTGACGTTGCGCATACAATTACTTCTTTGCATGTATACAAATTTTTTAAAATACACAATGCTCGACTACAAATTGCGCGCGCGAAGCGCGCGTTTTGTCATTTCTAGTCAGTTAAAAATCGCGATGTCGTTGGATGTCGATGGATGTTCATTTGAGAAAATTACTTCCGCAAATGCATAAATATTTTTTTTTATAAAACTATTAAGCAGAATGGGTCCGGAAAATAAACAGCTCGACATATAATTTATGTAATTGCAAGATTATCCCCTATAGTTTTAAATGATGCGACCGAGGCACGTAGACTAATATTTTTTCTTCCACTTTGAAATCAAGTTCTCTTTGCCGGGCCATGTTGTAACCCAAAGTGTAAATAGTGGAAAATTAAATGCTCTTCGCAAATTAAATGTCACGGATAGAAAGCAAGTAGCGGGACACCACGGTTGATTATATCATAATTTCATATCGATTTCATTGATTTGCGTTAATTTCAAGTGGATTTTATAAAGCGTGAATGTCCGGACTCGTCGAGATGTTTAACGAGAACGGGGAAAATGGAGAAGGGCGAGATTTTTGTTAGCGAAACGTTGGCTGCGAGTTGAGAACACGCGTACCTGTGTAAACATCATTGGTATTCCCAGCAGAAACGCCGCGATCCAAGTTATGATCACGATCTTACGGGCTTGGCTTATGGTGCACATATACTGCGCTTTCATTGGATGCACTATCGCGTAATACCTGAAACAGCATCAGAATTATTTCGAAGTAACTTAGAAGTAAGGGATTTTCGAACTTTCAGTATTATCGTGTCATTTATAATAACATAATAATTATAATTGTATTACAATTATAATTATTATATCTATATTCACGACAAAACGAATACAGAAATCAAATGGAGTGTTTTAATATAGATACATCAAGATATACGAGGGGGATTCAAATAAAAACCTTAAAAGTGCAATAATTTTTTTATTGTAACAATTAGGAACAACTTATGCATATCATTTCTCTACATAGTCTCCCTGACGTTCAATACAAGTTTTCCAACGCTTTGGAAGTGCATAGATACCACGTTGAAAGAAATCTTTTGGTCGTGTCTGTAGCCAGTTGTGCACCGCGGTTTTCACCTCTTCGTCACTTCGGAAATGCTTACTTCCCATTGTTTCTTTGAGGGCGCCGAACACATGAAAGTCACTAGGAGCGAGGTCTGGTGAATAAGGTGGATGAATAAGACATTCAAATTTGATATCCTGATTAGTCTGAACTGTCAAACGGGCTGTATGCGGTCGAGCGTTGTCATGCTGTAACAATACTCCGGAAGTCAGAAATCCTCGTCGTTTACTCCTGATTGCAGGGCGAAGTTGATTTTTCAGCATATCTGAGTACGAATAACTGGTTACTTCGCCCTGCAATCAGGAGTAAACGACGAGGATTTCTGACTTCCGGAGTATTGTTACAGCATGACAACGCCCAACCGCATACAGCCCGTTTGACAGTTCAGACTAACCAGGAATATCAAATTTGAATGTCTTATTCATCCACCTTATTCACCAGACCTCGCTCCTAGTGACTTTCATGTGTTCGGCGCACTCAAAGAAGCAATGGGAGGTAAGCATTTCCGAAGTGACGAAGAGGTGAAAACCGCGGTGCACAACTGGCTACAGACACAACCAAAAAATTTCTTTCAACGTGGTATCTATGCACTTCCAAAGCGTTGGAAAACTTGTATTGAACGTCAGGGAGACTATGTAGAAAAATGATATGCATAAGTTGTTCCTAATTGTTACAATAAAAAAATTATTGCACTTTTAAGGTTTTCATTTGAATCCCCCTCGTATTATACAATATTAATATGGAAAATTATGTTTAACGAAGCAGGATAATTTTAATAAAGATTTCATTAATAAAGGCGTGAAGCGCTGCGAAGCGCAATTGTGAAATACTTTCGAGAGGGTTTTACATATCAGTCGCGTCTTCGCGATACTATTTCTATATATATACTTGTACATTCAAAGCGCTTTGTCTCGCTTTACGGGCTAACATTTCTCGCGAAATGGCATTTGACGCGGCGCAGTTATCAATTTAAGTGTATTTGGTGAATATTTGGCCTGCGGCACACGAAAATGTAATAATGCGAGACTCGAAAAGATCACACAACGGCGAAATATTGAGCGAACACGTTCAGTATTTCGTTCGCAGACCACGTCGATGTGGTATTCTTGTCGAAGTGACTCGAGATGAAATCCGAGCGAAATAAATTATTTTACGTGAAATACAAATATCAAATACCTCTAATCAGCAACTACAAAATAAACTAAGACAATTCAATAGATAAACTTAACAAATGCTAAATTGAGACAAACGAAATTTTACAAAGCAAAACAAAGCATACGTGTAGCGAACTTTCATTCTCCAAGTATTTTCTTTTTGAAATAAAACTAAAAAATTTAGTTATCCCTTTTTTATACATATATGTATATCCTACTTCGAATATCTTATTATTTCAGCAATAGATTCCCTGTCCAATTAGAAACTGATTTTTTGTTTACACAAGATTACTAAAATGTTTATAATTTGCGAATTAAAAATAAAAAATTTTCAACGAAGTACAGTAGGTAGTAGAAAAAAAATTAGATAAAGTAACTACTCTTCATTCGTAAATTTCAAAACTTTTTATTTCGCAATCTCTGCATTTTGAGCCACGTTCTAAATTTAAAATAGCGCAGATATAATTTCCGGATTTACAAAAATATGCTTTAGGGGTAATTGAAAAATTGCAATAAACGATGCTCTTGCTAATATTTTTCTCAAGATTCCTAGGCTTGCCACGGCCATGTTGGAAATAATGGTGGAGATGCGAGAAATGGCATTTTTCGCGTGCTATTTTTAAATAAAAAGATATCTGGTTGAAGAAAACACTTTGGGTCGCTTAGCACAGTCATAAAATCGTCCGGAAACTATTCTTTCTCCTCGACAGTTAATAAACAACTGCAAACTTGTAATACGAAACCTAGTCATATTTTATAACATGTCATACCTATGTTTATAAAATATGATTAAATCGTATGACATTCGCTTTACGGCTGTTTATTAACTGTCAAGGGAAAAAGATAGTTTTCGAACAATTTTGTAAGTATGTTAAAGCGGTCTGACGTGTTATTTCATCCAAATTCCTTTTTACTTGAACATGGTGCACAAGAATTCTCATTTCTCGACTCTGACGTCACGATCCGACACGGCGAGCATTCAAGTGCCTTAAGAGAAGACAAATTGCAAGTTGATTTTTAAAAAACTGTTCGAAAAGACTATACATATGTAAAGGAAACAAGGTCAAATCACGAGCAAAACTAATTGTCAATTAGACAAACATATTCCTCAACATATCCGTAATTGCGAATGCTTCGGCTTTACTTATTGTTAGTCATCTTCAGTGCAAAATCGCACACAATTAAAATAAAAAATATAATAATAGATAAGTACGGGCAAGCTATAAAATTAAACTTATTATTGGTACACAATTTAGTCATAATGGTAAAATGCAATACAATCGTCAGCGTCATTGTTGTCAATTTTACAATAAGTCGGAAAAGTAAAAAATCTGAAGACAAATTTTCTGTGGTTTAAAGCCTCATGTCCACGATCCAAAAACTATGTTCAAGTTCTATAATAGTTCCGAGGAATGTGTAGCCAATCAATCACTTGCAGCTTTTCCGTAAAAGATGCAATTCATTATCGTGGACGTAAGACTTAAGAGGATCCTAAAATCTTTTTTATTCACGTCCGAATATGGTTTTTACGCTTGTAAATATTTTTATTGGCTTTTATGCACGAAATAATACCAGAATAAGTTGCGGACTGCATAGCAGAACATTTGCTTACTTAAAACATTCAGTTTAGAAGTTTAATAAAAACAAATTGGTATTTGAAATCTTCAATTTTTTATTCGCCGTCAATTTGAAATTGGCTTTGTAAAATTACAAAATTCTTCCACACGATTAAAGTACGCATAAAAATAAAGCGGCAGGTTCACGACTTTATATAAAAAAAGAAAACAAAATAAAAATGTCTATAAATTTATATAATTTATATAAAATTTATATAAAATTAAAAATTTATATAAAAAAAGAAAACAAATAAAAACTTTATAAGTAATTACGGTTAGGTTAAGTGACAGCTTTACGTAGTAATATTTTTAATTTCTCTTCGCTTTTCATATAAAGTCGACTTTCCTCTTTTCATTTTTTTTGGTGTACTTTAATCGTGTTAAAGAATTGTGCAATTTTATAAAGCCAATTTTAAATTAATCGCGAATAAAAAATTGAAAATTTCAAATACCAATTTCTTTTATATTAATTGCACAAACAATGTAGTCCAGTTAAAATTTTTCGGATCAGGGATGTTTCGTTGTAAGCTGCGGGAGGGCGGAAAAATCCACCGCGGAAAATCGCGTACGAATCAGAGAAAAATTAAATCAGGACACCGCGAGGAAAAAGCCTTCCTCCCGTTCGGACTCTGGCCGACGTAAAAGCAAGAACAAAAACATAATAAGCGGGTGGAGAGAACCGAGTCGCGTAATAGGGTGGAAAAGCGGTCGAAGCATTTACGCTGCACTCCGCAGGACTCCGCCGTCGCGTTTGCCTCCGTCAGTTTCCGCCGGGGCTCTTTTTATTCGCGCGCGGCGCGAAAAGGACCGCACAGCCGCCTCCTTGTTTTTCGGCGGCGGTATCACCGTCGTCATGAATACAAATTGTCCTGACCGATGCGCGGGAGAATCAGCCGATAAGAGCGACGGGAGAGCCGCGTCAAACGGAACGAACAGCGAGCTATCGCCCGAGTTTTCATCGCCCGCAAATCGTTTCACGTTTTACGACCGCACGAGATTGCCGCCGATGCGAAAATCGTTTCGCGAAGATTTTCCCCCGGCGAAGGAGGGAATTATATTAAGATGCCTCTAAAGCGACGGCAATACGAGCGATTCCGTGCGCGTTCGATTCTGGATCAACAGTTCATCGTTTGTCCCCCGGAGAAAAATACAAAATTGAAATCGATGTTTTTTAAGCGCTGGCGAACAGTTCGTTGCCACTCGTAACATATTTGAGAGGAACTCGTCGTGATCATTTACATTTACAGACTCGGCATTTATACGACAGGCATCTCTATTCTCCCCCCCCCCCCTCCTCTCTCTCTCTCTCTCTCTCTCTCTCTCTCTCTCTCTCGGTACTAATTGCGAGATTAAAAACTAGAAACTAAACACCAAAGAAAAGACTTCCATGTCGGATCTAGTACTATTACACTTTGATCTATCATAAAATTGCATCGATATAGCGATAATCGATATTTATTATTAAGAAATGGATATTTTAATTAAAGGGAAAATTGTTAAGTTTAAATTAGAATTTAATAATGGTGCGAATAATCGTAGGACAATATAGCATTTCTAAGATTTCTTTTAATATTGTAACACACAAAATTTACATGCACAAAAATTTGCAATAATTGAAACACTACTGCAGCAGCATATTTCTGAGACCAAATCAAGTAAACAAGTCCTGTACTACTTTTCCCTCCGACAAACAGTTATCGAGATATCATAAGCTAAATATTGAAAAAGTTATCAATTTTCTCTTGAATATCTCACAAAGTATTAGGCAAATAAAAAAATGTTTCAGACAAAAGTTGTTCATATTAATTAGTAGAAAAAGATAGTATAATAAACAATAGGGGATTCCATTTAA